TGATACAGATAATACTGATTTGGCAAATGCTTTATCTTTATTTAATCGTAATTGCCAAAGGGCACTCTCATCAAATCCTGACAACTTTTCATCTACTGCCTGGTGCTGATTTAAGATTTTACTGATGTAGGTTCGACTCCCAGTGGCTTTCTTAGAAATTGCTGATCTTTTCGTGCTAAATAGATCTGCAAGTGAGACAAATATTTGTTTGAATCATCCCATTCGTGACCCTACAAACCATTTGAAGTGAGCACATCGTTTTTAACTTTCTCAAACTGTGAGCTATCGTCATCACTGTCATTACAAAAGCAAAAAAACCCGAATATTCGAGTCAAAATCTTGGAAGAAAGATCAGAAAGCGGAACGACCTTGTGTGCCGACGACAACATCGGCGATCGACTGAGCAGTTGAAGCCGATTGCCCACGTGATTTTGCGGCTAAACTTTCCTGCTTGACTCTTTTGGATGTTCTTGACGTGATTGTGTAGAAATACGTCCAGAAAATGTGATATTGGTACAATAAATCGCACGATAAGCACATGGAAGGCGAACCCGGAAACAACTCACGAGCTAAAAACTGTTTTTGCGCAGAACGATGCCAGAATTTTCAGTTCTGCGCATAGCAATATGCGTTGGTACAGAACGTGTTGAATTCTGGGTAAAACCTCGTAACGTGCATCAGTATGCAGTTAACAGATACAACGAAGGCGGATGATGTTGTTATCAAATTTAAGAAACACATTTGTATAGTCTTGTTTATACATATAGTAATATAGTTGAACATAAACATGTCAGAAGTATAGATCCAGTAGATGATGCTTGATTTTGATGATTTTTTAACAATAAAATGATTGACATCTTGTACTTATATATTGCTCTGGAACAGCCTTGATTAAAATGATGTAAAACGAATATATAAAATTTGAACATAATCAGTCAAAGCATATCAGAGATATGGCTCTAGAAGCACATTCATTAAACAAAATGGCCATCAGTCAGCCATTTCAAATTGGATCTGAAAAATAAAACGATGTGCCTCAAGGTCCCATAATGTTCAACGTATGTACCAAATTTAAACAAAATCCATCCATAAATGCTTGATTTTGATGATTTTTTAGCACAAAAATGGCCACCACCAGATTGTGAAACAAAATGATGTGCATATGTATAATATTATGTATGATGTATGTGTGAAGTTTGATTGTGATTGGTCTAGAAATGTCTAAGATACACATGCACGGATGGACACGGATGCACAAATGTCAAAACATAAGTCCCCGTTTTCGGACTGTGTCCGAACGTGGACTAAATAATTGAGTCTGTGACTTACTTTCAACCATAGCAAATGCCTGTATATATTCCAATGTCAACAAAGGTATGGGTAATTCACGCAGAAATTGTTTTAACAATCCAGCTACATCGTGACTTCGTGCATTATTAAACTGAAACACACTACAACCACTGCTGTACTGTGACTCTAATTCTTTACGTAACACCTGTACAAGAAGATTAGATCAGAGAATAAATGTCAAAGTCTGACAAAAATATTTCAACGATATTTATTCATTGAACAAATCCAACTTTAATTAATCAAAATCAGAAACAAAAATAGAAAAAGCAAAATTAAAAAAAAAATATTAGGTATAAAGAGTGAAACAATGTCACATGATTCTACATTCTAATCAAATTCTACCATCTCATCGTGAAATGAATGACTAACCTTCATTCTTGTCGAAGATCCTGGTATTCTTAATATTCCCTCATCTTTAATGCCTTTAACTTTTAAATAAGCCATCATCTGAAAAAAAATGACACAAAATTTTAATAGTGTTAAATTATGTGCATAAATATTATGGGTTAAATTATGCACATAAATAATATGGGGTTAAATTATGCGGATAAATATTATGGATTAAATTATGCGGATAAATAATATGCGGTTAAATTATTCACATAAATATTATGGGTTAAATTATGCACATAAATAATATGGGGTTAAATTATGCGGATAAATATTATGGATTAAATTATGCACATAAATAATATGAGGTTAAAATATGCACATAAATAATATGAGGTTAAATTATGTGCATAAATATTATGGGGTTAAATTATGCACATAAATATTATGGGTTAAATTATGCACATAAATATTATGGATTAAATTATGCGGATAAATAATATGCGGTTAAATTATTCACATAAATATTATGGGTTAAATTATGCACATAAATAATATGGGGTTAAATTATGCGGATAAATATTATGGATTAAATTATGCACATAAATAATATGAGGTTAAATTATGCACATAAATAATATGAGGTTAAATTATGCACATAAATAATATGAGGTTAAATTATGCACATAAATAATATGGGATGAAATATTCAGTTATTGGTGTTCTTAACAGTCAAACAATCAATTCCTGTCAATCCTGAAATGAGCAAACCTAATTTATTCACATCATACTTTACCCTCCAAGAGTCCAAAGAAATTAAAGCAATGTGTTTTTTTTCTAATGAAGAGAGGGATCATAACTGTGCAAAAAAACATGGAGTCACTTACTTGTTGAAATATAAGGGGGATGGTGGCCTTACTCTGCCGCCTTCTATCATTTTCTAATAATATATGTAGAGGTACTCCGAATAAACCAGTTTCTGAAAAAATCAGATGTAAATACAAGAAAATCCCTGTCATTGAAAGGAACACGCTATTTTAAAAATAATGATACTTCATGTTTAGGTAATTATTGAAGAAAGGAATTATAGAAATTATTAAAATGACAGATGCAAATATTGCTAATTTTGCTGATCAAAGGCGGATAATAGATAAGGGCATGAAACTTCATACTCATGTATGTGAAGAAGATTTTCAATTCAAATGCAGCAATGTGATTGGATGTTAATTATATTAGTTCTGATAAATACAGTCTTAGAAAATCCTAGGAGTTTTGGAAACAAAAAAATACTTTGACATTGGTAGTCTCTAATTCAGTTGATGTGTACACACAACAAACCTGTCAGGTAATACCTGAGCATCAATACAAGTGTTGGATTAAAATTTATCAAACCAAGGATTATCAGATTTTATTTAGGAATTATAAAACACTTTCTAGTACATATTCTATTAAAATACAAGTAACTAAAAACAACACAAGGGAAAACAGTATCAGTATGCAAAAATTTGAATAAGCACCCATAATTTCATTTCATTATACCATATTCAAAAAAAGTATGGTGAGCACACAGATGTAAACAAGATGTTGCCCAAGGACTTTTTGCTTCTCACTTGGATGTTAAGGTTATAACATAATAATAATATAATAAAGAAAGAAAGCTTAGAAAGAACTCCCGTGTGTATTGAAGACACATTAAAAATTAATTAAAAATTACTTGTACATGAGATATTGATGGAAAAGCTGAAAACTAATTATGTAAATCAGGTAACGAATATGAACAGATAAGAACAAAAAAATTATGAATTACTATGCTAATTAGAGACTTAATATGAACAAATTTTAACCCCAAATTAATCAAGCCTGTCTATTGTCCTAAAGCATTTATGTACCAAATTTTATTCAAATGTGATGATCAGTACCTGAGATATCAGTGTTAATTAATTATGTTAATTAGGTGATTAATAAGCATAAATATTAACCAAAAACTAATTGGGCCTCTGCATAGTTCTCCTTAAAAGTTTCATTAAAATCCAATTCGTGGTTCTTTATATATCAGTGGAACATTAGGCAAATTAGGTAATTAATATCCAATTAAAACTAATCAGGTCTCTGCATAGTCCTAGAAGATCTATGTAGCAAGTCTCATTGAAATATGATGATTAGTACTTGAGATATTAGGCAAAAAGCTGAAAATTAATTAATTATGCTAATAAGGTAATTAATATGCACAAATATTTACCCAAAAACTAATAAGGTCCCTGCACAGTCCTTAAGTAACTATGTACCAAGTAGTATTGAAATGTGATGATAACTATTTGAAATATCAAAAGCTGAAAATTAATTAATTATGCAAATTAGGTAATTAATATGTACTGATATAACCATAAAAACTATCAGGTCTGTGCAGTGTCCTATGACATCTATGTACCAAGTGTCATTGAAATGTGATGATTACTACTTGAAATATCAAAAGCTGAAAATTATTTAATTATGCAAATTAGGTAATTAATATGTACTGATAGTACCCTAAAAACTATCAGGTCTGTGCAGTGTCCTATGACATCTATGTACCAAGTGTCATTGAAATGTGATGATTACTACTTGAAATATCAAAAGCTGAAAATTAATTAATTATGCAAATTAGGTAATTAATATCTACTGATATTAACCTTAAAAACTATCAGGTCTGTGCAGTGTCCTGTGACATATATGTACCAAGTTTTATTGAAATGTGATGATTAGAACTTGAGATATCAGTGGAAAAGCTGAAAATTGATTAATCATTATGCAAATTAGGTAATTAATATTGCACAGATTTTTACCCAAAACTAATCAAATCTTTGCATTAGTTTAGAGCATCTATGTGGCAAGTTTCATCAAAATCCAATGAGTGGTTCTTTAGATACATGTATCAGTGGAACAGTCATGGAACAGCTAAAAATCAGCTAATTATCATGCAAATTAGGTAATTAATATGCATGAATTTTTACCAGAACCTTATAAAATCTGCGCATTGGCCCAGAGCATTTATGCACCAAGTTTCATCAAAAATCAATGTATGGTTCTTGAGATATCAGTGGAAGAGACACACACACAGACACACACACAGACAGACAGACACACTAACTGCAAAGACTCTCTTTTTGTGCTTCGCACACGGGAGTCAATAATAATAATAACATAATAGTCATAATTTTTGAGATAGTTGGTTACAAATTGCATGGCATTGTTCATTGTGTAAAATCATAAAGCTATTGTCCCATGGCACCATGAGATAGCAATCTTTTGTGAGTTACAGTGACGTATTTTGAGAACTTCACATTTTTAAAAAAAAATAAGTGTTTTTTAGAATAATTCCATAGAACACAATGTTAAAGAATAATTACATTTTTTTACATTTTTTAAGACCCAGATTATTAACAGTTCAGGACAACAAAGAGTACCCTATTACATGTATTTGTAATATATAATTGTTTCAGCCTATGTCACCAGCCTACAATTTAAGATTTCACATATTATCTTTGTCATAGGAACCCATGGTAAAAGCGTATAATATTGACAAAATGGCCACTATCCATGAAAATCATTTTCTTGAAAATTTAGGCTGGTGACCCCCCAATATTTATTTAAGTCAATATACTTACATTGCTCAGTAGTACAATATATTGGAAAATGAATGAGTTCTGGGTATTTACATTTATGAGTAGACTTCTACATTAATAAAAAGAAAAAGAAGAAAACAACAACATATAGCACTATTGTTTGTTTTAATTTGAACCTACCTTTGTATTTCTTTTTCCCTGATCTCCGAAGAGGACGTAAACTTAACAAATAACTGTCAAACATGGCTGTCAGTTCTATTAATGCTAACGACCGTATTCTATCAACGTCTTTTGGTGCCAGATAATCAAGTGAAGTTAAACCAAGCTTATCAGGAACTATTGTAATATTCTATCAGAAAATAAAATGCTTCAAATAGTAAAGTTGTTCTAATATACAATCATAACTAAAGCAGACAGTGCAAAATTAAGGAAAATAGAATATTCACTGTTTACAATGGTTTCAGAGAAAATTAGTCATATTTGTAGGTAAACTTGCTTGAAAACACTGTATTTGTAAACAAAAACCTCTTACATCTTTATTTTTTAGAAAATATACAGTTTTAAGCCCTGACACACTTAACCCTTATAGCATACTTTGATAGAATTCATATATATTCAAATCTGATAAATGCAAACACATAAAACATGACTAACCATAAAGGGAAATTTTTATTTTTGTGTATGACCTAAAGCGCTCTCTGTAGTTCATATTTAGCAATGTTACCTTCAGCCAACTGAGTTTACAGAGCTCTACTCTATTACATGTATGTAATACTTACTGGCAATTGAGAATATGATTCACCATTGGAGGTCACATCTTCCAAACAAATGTCCTGATAACAGTAAATATATTGATATATTAGTGCTTATTATCATATTAAAGGGGCATCCAATACTTATATATCATTACAGATTGTTCCAGGAACCCAATGAATCATTAAAGGTTATTCAAGGAACCCAATAAATCATTACAGGTTATTCAAGGTACCCAATGAATCATTACAGGTTATTCAAGGGACCCAATGAATCATTAAAGGTTATTCAAGGGACCCAATGAATCATTAAAGGTTATTCAAGGGACCCAATAAATCATTAAAGGTTATTCAAGGGACCCAATAAATCATTAAAGGTTATTCAAGGAACCCAATGAATCATTAAAGGTTATTCAAGGGACCCAATGAATCATTAAAGGTTATTCAAGGGACCCAATGAATCATTAAAGGTTATTCAAGGGACCCAATGAATCATTAAAGGTTATTCAAGGGACCCAATGAATCATTAAAGGTTATTCAAGGAACCCAATGAATCATTACAGGTTGTTCAAGGAACCCAATAAATCATTAAAGGTTATTCAAGGGACCCAATAAATCATTACAGGTTATTCAAGGAACCCAATAAATCATTACAGCTTGTTCCAGGAACCCAATGAATCATTAAAGGTTATTCAAGGAACCCAATGAATCATTACAGGTTGTTCAAGGGACCCAATAAATCATTAAAGGTTATTCAAGGAACCCAATGAATCATTACAGGTTGTTCCAGGAACCCAATGAATCATTACAGGTTGTTCAAGGAACCCAATGAATCATTACAGGTTGTTCAAGGAACCCAATAAATCATTACAGGTTATTCAAGGGACCCAATGAATCATTAAAGGTTATTCAAGGACACCATAAATCATTACTGTTGTTCAGGAACCC